GTGTGTAAAAACACACTTATCAGTCATCAATAAGTATTATGTTGTTATGTATTTGTAGGAGTAGAAAAATGGTTGAAAATCACGTCCAAATTGGTTTTCAAAAGAGTTCCAATCGAATAAGGAAAGTTATCTTCGCGTGCGAATTTTTTGTCTCTGCACAATTGTTAGTATTTTGATCATAACTTTCTCTCCCGATATCCGATTGATACTATTCAAAATGGGTTAAAAATCTAATTCAAATGGATACAACTTTGATAGAGGTATAATTTTTTCAATTCGAACATTTATTATGCCAAAAGTGAATCTCAGTTTTCGACTAAAAATTTAAAATATAACTTGTGCGATTGGAAATTAATTTTGATAATATTTCGATCATATTCCATTAATTTTTGAGTTCCATCCAATTGTCTCCTAATAATATTCAAAATATATTCTTGCGTCCGAATCCACTATTGAATATTTACAATTTGGTCCTCAAATTTTGAATTTTGCCATTTTTCACAATTTTTCACTTCTTTCTTTTGATTCCTAGTTCAACAATTGAGTTTTACCTATATAACATAAAATACAACAATTTAGGATATATTTTGTCAAAAGAACTATCAAATATCGTTATTTTAGACCCCGAATAAGTGTATAAAATACACTTATCAGCAATCATTAACAGTTAATNTTTCAATTTTGGTCCTCAAACTTTAGACTTTGCCATTTTTCCTTGATTTTTGTTTCTTCCAATTACTCGTTCAACCATTGAGTTTAACCTATATAACATAAAATACAACAATTTAGAATATATTTTGTCAAAATAATTGTCAAATATCGATATTTTAAGCCCCGAATAAGTGTATAACTTATCAACCAGTTCAGTCCTCGAACAATTTCCTCGTCCCATATTCTTCGTGTTGTTATTTAAAACATCGGAGAGGAATGGAAAATAAAGGTATTTGTTTCTTGTCATCTTATTTAAAATCTCTCATTTTGTGGGTATAGTAGCAACAAGAAAAATGCTCCAAGTACAGGAGCATATTTTACAGGGCCTGCCAGGTTACTCACACTGGCGGGCCCCACATGTTTTAAAAAATGGAAAAAAAATGCACCCCTCCCCCCTTGTATTAGTAGCCAGGCAGTGAAACCACCCACCCACCCCCTTGTACGTGAATCATCACTCGTAGCAACAATACTCTAAGCCCTCCCAAAGGAAGGAATTTTTTTGCCACGACATTGTAAGAATCTGGTTAGACGCTCAAAGTTCATTTGTGTAGGTATGATGGGAAATGTAACTTTTTAAGCATCTTGTTATGCTTTATAGTAAACTCTCCTAATACTTGATTGAATGTTGATGTTTTCTCTTGGGAAAATTTACAAAATATACCTGTAACTACTATTTTATAAATTTACATTTATATACTACATTTTACATTAACGGTCACAAAAAAAACTCTCTTTGCTGAAAAATTAACACGTGTCATTATAATAGTTAAACAGGCAAAATTATATTTAATTAAAATAACAAATCACACTTTATATATTACTTTATGTAACATTTCTCATACTATTTTGTTATCGATCATTCATTATAGAGTTATTTTCTCTTTAAAGTTGATTTTATTTTTGGTGTGATATATATTAATTTTTTTATCATCATTTTACTGAACTCTTAACATTAAATCTATAAAGGTTAATTTTAATAAGTTAATAACACATTGAGAAATATAGAAAATACTTATTTGACTCTTCCAAATGTAGTGAAAACAAATAAAAATTCTTGATTACTATGTTTTAATTAATAATTTTTTTCACTATGAACAAAAACAGTATGTAAAGTGTAATTATACTCTATGTATTCTCTTGATTACATTTTATATTCTCTCCTCTTTTGACCCACTAGCGAATCTCGACTGTGATCGATTTATGGTCATGTCGTCGAGTTAAAGAGTAGAGTAAGATGTAAAATTATTTACTCAATCTACAGTTGAGATAAGAGCATTTTCAATACATTCTATTGTTCGCATTATGCATGGCAAGCAAGTTGAAAGACTTGTAATTTATGTGGCATTGACGTCTAAAGACATAGTCAAGTTTCTTTAATGAGTTCAATCTACTACCGTCTTTTATCTACCTTAAAATAAAAATTGATAAATTGGAGAAGAGGGAGAAAATTCAATGCTTTACAAATAGAAACAAAAATATATGTAATTTATGTGGACAATGTCTTTATTTTTGCCACATAAGCTTGATAAGTGTTTATTTTACTTATGAGATTATTATTTTTTAATTGTTTCACATTAATATTGAAAATGCTCTAAATATAACCCAACTAAAAAGTTTAATTAATTTTACGAGAAATTGGATTTATTTATTTTTTATTGTTTTTTGGAATCTTTAGTAGCCTCAAAGTTTTAACCATTAATTTAGAAGCAATCTTATTTATTTTTGAAACTTTCCAAATAAATAAATAAATAAATAAAACCTTCCAAATTCTTTTCTCCTAAAACTCATGTGATTATATGTGTTAATGGATAGATTAACAGCCGAATTAATGTTGGTAGTGGCAAAACTCCGACTTGTTAATTCTCCATTACAACTTATTTATTTAGTCATTTTCCTCCCTTATATAATTTTGGAAAAATAATAAAATAAACCAAATTTTGGTCCATTCGATCCGACATTCGTGTACGCACACAAATTCAAGGTTCGAAACCTATTTCGATCCGTGATTTACACCATCTTGCACGCTTACGTGGAAAGAGTCTCTATACTACACTTGATTACACCCTTCTAAAGTGTAATCATATTTAAAGTGGTCGTTGCTTTTATCTATTTTCATATGTTGGGTAACTTTAAATTAGTTTCCCTCCAACACAAAACATCTTCCGATACATCACTTTGAGCTCCAATTTTTCATTCACTCGAACATCATTTTTGACAAACAAATATATGATTTCCATTTTTTCAAAGAGAAAAACACAAATCAATTTTGATCTTTCAAAATAAACAAATGGATCCCACTCGAAATCTATGCCAAATTCAGCCCTTCAGTTTACTTATTTATTCCAACAAAAATAAAGTATGATACAGCTTGATTTCCACTAAAGTTAATAATTAAAATGATTCATGAATGAACAACAGGTAGCAAGTGGACACAATAATGACACATCATTACAAATAATTGATTAAATTATTTCATTTTAAACGTTGTTATGATTGTCACCCATTATTTATCTAAATTTTCATCATATCCATCTATTCTATTACATAGTATTTTACACGTGTCGACAATATTTGATGCTCATTATGAAAATATTTTCCGTGATAGCTAATTTTCAAGAGTATTTTACACAATTTAACTACATTTTTACGTTAAAAAATAATATACCCCTCCTCTTGTCTCAATCTGAAGTCTTGATCTTCAATCCCAATCTGATCGAAGAAAATTACTCGAACTTGAGGTTACAGGACTAGGGTTGCAGCAAGTTAACAAACGAACATAAAACGTTTCACTTTGTCTAGAACATGCAATGAAAACTCCAAATCATGAATTCGGAAATATCGAATAACCAAGAATCGACGAAAAGATTAGAAGACGTTGAATAAATAACCGAACAGAAACGACAATGCATCGACGGCTATATAAATGACATATTCTACAACACAATCATAGAGGTAGAAATGTCTACTGGGATATACTAACTAGCTAATATACTAGACAAACCTTGCCTGCACTCGCAACTACTAAGTTTATAGACGAACAACAGTGGGGTGATAAGACTGGTTAACTAGGGAATACATGAACAGGCTTTGATGCCAATTGGGTCTGTAAGAGAATTGTTAGTGCATATTTGATATGCTATATCAGACAGTATAATAAACAAGATTTTCAATTCCGTCTAATCCACCTTCATGAACATGTGGTTAGCGTTTTAGGGTTACTACTCAGGCAAAGATATGTTGATGTCAGTGGGTTTATTCGTAGAGTCGGGGCCCATTGAAGACCAGCTATCTCCACGGAAAGAAGAGTTGGCATTATGCGGTTCTTCCGCCCCTGCACTGGAGATAGGAATGGCAGCAGTAGGTATAATAGTCGTCGACTGTGTCTTGTGTTTCTTCGTCTTCTGTTCATGCTGATTCCCCACCAAAAAACTACCAACCACAATCTAATTTCACACCAGAACGCATAATTTATCAGAAAATTTACTAGGAAAGTATACTAAGATGTGTTTTGCTAAGCTTAAACAAAAGTAAATTAAGTAATTACCAAATATGTCTCGATAAAACAAAAACGAGATGAAAACATACCTGGACGGGACTGGCAGCAACCAGTAAACCAGCAACACCACCCCCAACAACACGACCATCGGGGCTAGCTAAAGAAACGCTCATACCACCAGATCGGTGCCTCATTCCTCCAATCTCGGAAGGCATAAATGATCCAGTCAGCGACAGTATCTCGAAACGACCCTAAAACAACAAAAGAACTATGATATCAAATGTTCCTCTTGATGGAAAACAAAAATAATACCATAACTAAGAATTACTAGCAACGTTAAATTTGCTGGGATATTAAAAAAGAAGACAAGTGTGATTAAACTAAAGCAAAAAATTATCGATTCCAACACCTCGTATGTCAATGTGCCACCTGAAGAATCAGGTTGACGAAGTGTTACGCTAGAAATCACGCCATTAGCCGAGAGAACGCATATAGCCCGAGGACCTTGTTGAGAGAAAGATATCACTTTCATCATGACATCCTAAAATCAAAAGTAGATTCATTAATGCAGTGGATTTCAACTGTTGTCATCCACTGTACACAAAAAATCGTACATTAATGTGAATGGTCTCCAAAGGTAAGAGCAAGGGTGCCATACGAAAAGGAGAAAAGTAAATGGAAATTAAACTACGAAGCAGAACTGAAACTCGAATACAGATTATAGAAAATTATTTGTCTATTGAGCAAACCATGCAGTAAATTGAAATTTTACCTCTCCAGCATTGACAGTGATGATATGAGGCATAAAATTAGCACCAACAGAACATGAAACCCATTCACCTACAAGAAAAAATATTGAAGATTACTAAATCTCGAGGAGACGACATCAGCATGCAATCAAATCTTTTACAGCGTCTTGAACAACAGAATCATATCGAGTATTCATAAAAATATCATAATAGGAAAGAAAAAGGCATTTTGTGGCCATGAAAACAATAGGACGAAAAACATTAATTCATGAACCTGATCTTCACTTACCAATTATACGAGATCGAGATGAACTCGTTCCACTAGCAAAAGAATATTACTTCACCAACCTTTTTATGAAGTCATCATAGAGCTCAAGACAAACTCGTATCAATGGCAACTAATCTATGTCGAACCATGTCACCTAAAAGCTTAAATTGTTAGAGAGATAGACATGTTTATTTAAGCTTTGGTCCTCACGTGCAAGCAAAATCCACTTTTTCACCATTGGCACGACAAGTACATAGTTGTCATTAATGACTGGAGGCAAGGCCTGATCTCAGGCCAAAAATCCATTTGCACCAGGGGGCATGGCACGTGGATTTTCCATTTGAGAATCAAGTTGTGCATATTCTACGAAGCCACTTTTAGGAAAACAAACAAAAGCCAGTCCAGTCTGAACTACAATTTAGCCGCCCACGAAGATCTTTCTGTCCAAGTTGAGGTATTCCACAGCAGAAGTGACGTGGATTATTCAAGAACGTCGATCTAGATTCCATCATTTTCGCACCAAAAACCCCACATGACTATCAAAACTACCCATTCATGACAAGATTTTAGTTGGGGCATCAATTCATAGGTCCCAGTTCTTCACTCAACTATCATTTGCAATAACTCTTACAGTTAAAACACGGAACTTAAATTCATACAAATTAAACACCAATACATAATAGAATGTTTGATGAACAGGCATGCATTAAAAATAAAACACACATTGCTCCATATAGTAATGCACAATCATCATTTCAATTACCCAAATTCTCCGGCTCCATTCTCGTATGCTGCGCCATACGGACTTTTCCGGGCTTATCCGCGGCCGAGAAGTCAATCATCGGTGTAGGGGTCGAGGAGGATATCGGCTTAGGTGAGAGGGGCTTAGCGGCAGAGCCATCAGGGGCATACTTCCTAGGCCTGCCCCTCTTCTTCTTCTCAACAGTGGCGACACTCACTCCGGCATCGGTGGTCGACGGCGGAGGAGGCAGCGCTGATCCACTCATCTGAATTGGATTATCAGTGGTCCTTGGAGCCACATGGTAGTCCGAAGGAGCATCTGATCCCACCACTGTGATTCCACTGCTACTTATAGTACCTCTTCCACCTTCCATACTTCAAATTCCAAGAACAAGAATTCCTACAAAACCCTCAAAAAACCATAATTTTTCTTGGAAGTGAAACGCCAGAATTTTTTTAAAAAAATTTAAAAAAAAAAAAACAGCAAAGATTATCTCTTAAAGAGCTTCTTCGTGTTTGGACAGAACTGGGAACAAAAAAAGTACGGTAAGATCAAACTGAAAAAACGGAAAAGTTAGTGTGGATGAACAATAAAATTATGGGACAAAAAAGATTTTATTTTTTGGAGAATTAAAAGACAAGGATTGAATTTTGGGGTGAGAAAATGGGCAAATTGAGGTATGGTAAGTTAAAGGTACTTTAGCTTTTCCTAATTTTCCTCAGATTGTCCGAATTTATGGTTTAAAAAATGTGAAAATAAAGTGGAAGAAAATATTAAATATTTGGGTCCATTAATTGTTGATTAGCCACTCTGACAAAATATTGTTTTGAACGGTAATTTTTTGAAAAAAGTGTGATTAAAAAGTAGAGAATTACGTATGAAATATTTTATTGGGTTAATGTATAGTTAAAAATGAGTAGGTAAAAAAAATAGTTTTGAAATAATCGAAAACAAAAAGAGGATCATTTTTTATAGCATAGAAAATATGTAGTTTGGTTAATAAAATGGTTGGAGTCCGGCTGGAAAAGAAAATTAAAAAAAAGTAATTGTAGCTGGGAAAAAAGTGAAAATTAGGTTGCCAAGCAATAAAGACCTTCCTTCTCCTTTTTATGTATTCTCTAACATACTTGAATGCACCTTTGGAGAGTGAGTGAAAAGAGGAAGTGTTACTTTTACACCATTGCCTAATTATCCAATTTTACTTAAATCAATTATATGTTCAACTATAAAGTATTTTGTATCTCTGAGTTAATGTAGAGATGCATAGANTTACTTAAATCAATTATATGTTAAAGTATAAAGTATTTTGTATCTCTGAGTTAATGTAGAGATGCATTGAATAGGGCAACATATAATAATTCGTGTAGTTGACTGTAAATTCATTGATAATAGTACTTAGAGAGTGTTTTGTAGGAATTAAAATTAGATTTTTAGTAGATTGTGATAGAAGTTTTTGAAATGTGCAGTTGAAAAGTTGTGGGATCCATGAAAAATGTGGTTAATATTAATTGTTTGACTTTAACTTAAATTAAAATTAGATTTTAATCCAAACCAAACAGGGGCTTAATTTATTGTACACGATTACAAGACAAATTTTGAGTAGGTTTTGATTTTGTCACGATCTATAGAAAACAATTAATAACCAGTGAGTTAAGAAATTTCTTTAGAAATAAAAGTTATAATTACATTGATTTGAAATTTATTCTTAAGAAATATTAGTACTATCTTACAAAAAAGAATAGTTTATAAATGTAAGATTCCTTCAAACCACATGTATTGACCAGAAAAAGAAACATAAATCAATGCCAATAAGTTAACACCAAAAACAAAATTAATAAATTAAAATAAATACAAGGCAATAAATTAGGTTTTAGAAAAGAACAATGGGCTCTTTAAAAATACTATGTACATAAATCAATAAGATGGAGGTGTCGAGATGGACGGTCGGCCAGACCCGTGAAAATCTGCTCGGATCGATCCGGGACTGCGGGCCGACCTGTAACCCGAGCGGACGGTTCATGGGTCAAAGATGTGTGACCCACGGGCTCCGCGGGTTACACCTTCACGGGCTGCGGTTAAGCCGCTGGCCTGTGAAAAAAAAATTGAAAAATTTTGAAAAAAAGAAGGGGAGAGAGCCGTTGTACTTATTCTATAAATATTTGATAATAGTTAGGGGTGGGCAAAAATCGAACCAACCCACGAAAATCGACCCGATCGAGTTAGGTCGATTTTTTTTTTTTAATCTGTTAGGTTCGATTTTTTTTTTTAAAGGAAAGCAGGTCGGGTTATGGGTTGACCTGTAAAAATCGATCCAACCCGCCCAACCCAACCCTCTGCTTAAAAAATTGAAAAAAGAATAAAGAAAAAAAAAACTAATGTTGGCTTCACAAATCACACCCCTATTTTATAGTCAATCTTCCCTTTTCTCTCAAGCTGCAGTCACGTTCAACAATCAAGCCCAAAACCTAAATGTTGCTGACTTGCTGTGCCTCATTCTCACTCGCTCAATCAAGCCCTCGACCGTCACCACCTCTATTTCCATCCAAGCATCGCCGGTCTGTACTCATTTTCTTCAAAATGTGATGCTTTGCTAATTGACCCCCTTCGTATTTTCATACGTTGGGCGTTAGAGAGATGGAAGCATTAAGTATTCTGCCAGTGTTCACTTCAGCGTTGTGAATCTATGATGATGCTGTAAATCTTTACAAAGCTTTTATGGGTATTTTTTTAACCTTTGAGTTTTTTATTTTTTTATTTTTTGTTGCTAATTAAAGATCTTTCAGCATTCACAGTTTTTTTTTTATTATTATTTTATATGCTAAAAATGATGAGTATAGCCATGAAGATATTGTACACTGTTAGGGGTGTAAAATCTATTACATTGCTTCACATCCTTGCTTCAATTTTTGGGGATATAACCTTGCTTCAGTGTTTTAAATTAGGGAAAAATTCACTTTCCCTACTTTATCTTTACCCTATTTCAAAAATAACAAAACAACTTTTACATTTTACAAATCAGAAATTTTGACTTATACATACACATTTATATAAATATTTATTTATACATATAAATAANTTACTTAAATCAATTATATGTTAAAATATAAAGTATTTTGTATCTCTGAGTTAATGTAGAGATGCATTGAATAGGGCAACATATAATAATTCGTGTAGTTGACTGTAAATACATTGATAATAGTACTTAGAGAGTGTTTTGTAGGAATTAAAATTAGATTTTTAGTAGATTGTGATAGAAGTGTTTGAAATGTGTGGTTGAAAAGTTGTGGGATCCATGAAAGATTTGGTTAATATTAATTGTTTGACTTTAACTTAAATTAAAATTAGATTTTAATCCGAACCAAACGGGAGCTTAATTTATTGTACACGATTACAAGACAAATTTTGAGTAGGTTTTGATTTTGTCACGATCTATAGAAAACAATTAATAACCAGTGTGAGTTAAGAAATTTCTTTAGAAATAAAAGTTATAATTACATTGATTTGAAATTTATTCTTAAGAAATATTAGTACTATCTTACAAAAAAGAATAGTTTATAAATGTTAGATTCCTTCAAACCACATGTATTGACCAGAAAAAGAAACATAAATCAATGCCAATAAGTTAACACCAAAAACAAAATTAATAAATTAAAATAAATACAAGGCAATAAATTAGGTTTTAGAAAAGAACAACGGGCTCTTTAAAAATACTGTGCACATAAATCAATAAGATGGAGGTGTCGAGATGGACGGTCGGCCAGACCCGTGAAAATCCGCCCGGATCGATCCAGGACTGCGGGCCGACCCATAATTCGAGCGGACGGTTCATGGGTCAAAGATGTGACCCACGGGCTCCGCGAGTTACACCTTCACGGGCCAGCGGCTTAGTTGCTCGAGTTGAGTCGATTTTTGTCCACCCCTAACTATTATCAAATATTTATAGCATAAGTACAACGGCTCTCTTTCCTCTTTTTTTTTTCAAATTTTTTCAATTTTTTTTTCACGGGCCAGTGGCTTAGCTGCGGTTAAGCTACTGGCCCGTGAAAAAAAAAAATTGGAAAAAATTGAAAAAAAAGAAGGGGAGAGAGTCGTTGTACTTATGCTATAA